TTGTGTTAACCAAATTCTATGGCTCTCTCATAAAAAATTAATTTTGATCTTCGACTCTCAGTCTGGTTAGCGGCTTGCTAAAAACTGAGTCATATTGGGACTTGAGTAGCTCACTCATTTCCTTGCTGTCATCTGTGTAGGACCCATCTTGTTTAAGTAGGGGCCCAATACTGGACGTTGTTCTCGACTTTGATTTGGCATAAGAAAAGAAATACATACTTTGGGCTTCTTTCGATTTCGTTTATGGCTTTTAGTTCTTCCCACGATTCCTGACTCCTATAAGATTCCTTAAGCTTAAGTTCGATGTTTACTATTTCTCTGACCAGTGACTCCCTATGCATTTCAGATATATTGGCCTCTTTTAGCCGCTCTGTTATTCTTTTCCGTCGCCTGTAAAGGGAGCGCCTGTCTCTTTCCATTTTACATTTACTCCTCCTTTTTCTTAAAGGAATAAGCTTTGAGCATACATCGAGTGCCACCAAGTTAATCTGTTCTATGCATAAGTTGGGGTCTGTGTTGCTTAGTCTATCTTCCCAGCTTATATCGTTTAGGACTTGTTTTACTTGGTCCCACTTTATGTTCTTGTTATTGAAGTTGAGTCTGAGTCCTGGATATGGGAAAATATGAGTTTCCTCTTTTGTTCTGGTACAATTGAATGGGAACAAGACAGCCCAGCACCAGAGGTTGAAGGTTGAGGGTCATCTGGGTTCTCCTCACTATTACTGGTATTATGGTCATTTGTTTCAGTCACAACCTCCTCAAAACCTTAAGTGTCATCTTCACTGACACTCCCATCTGTATTAAAACTGTCACTGGGCAGCAAAAGTGTTCCAATTTGCCAAGGAGTGAGGTATTTCTTGGTGCCAGGCATGGTGAACAAGGACTACTTATATGGTGTTCCCACAATGCACCACTGGGTCCCCAATTTTTTTGCTACTGCGCACACTGACCACACAGACCCATTCTCTCACATCTAGGGTTACCAGCCTTTTCCTGCTTGATTTGAGGGCGCTAGAATTTATGCGTACAAGTATGTCACCAACCCTGGAGCGTAAGACGTACTAGTACGCCAAAAAACATGAAAGGGTTAATAGAACTAACTTAAGATTTAATAGGCAATCCCTATACAGTGGACCCCCACATAACGATCACCTCCGAATGCGACCAATTATGTAAGTGTATTTATGTAAGTGCGTTTGCACGTGTATGTTTGGGGGTCTGAAATGGACTAATCTACTTCACAATATTCCTTATGGGAACAAATTCGGTCAGTACTGGCACCTGAACATACTTCTGGAGTGAAAAAATATCGTTAACCGGGGGTCCACTGTATTAGGAATTTTGTGATTACAGTCATTTGGGTGGATGTAGGTGTAAATTATAGGGGAATTACAGATAACAAGAATAAGTCTATATTGTTTTGGATGTGATCATGATACAAAAAAGAGAACTGGTTGGTTTTCATTTGGTTAGCTGATGATGGGGTGTGTTTGGGAGACAAGGTGTTTTTTAATGGTAGTTTTGAAAATAGTGGTTGAGTTCCAGATTTTAGGCCCTTTTATGTACATCAAATTTTTGTAAAGGTTTAGCCAGACACATGGAACGTCATAGAGATTTTTGTGTCAGGTGTTGTATCTATGGGTCCTGTTGCAACTATCAAGAAATTGTTTTAGTTCAGGGTTAAAATTAGAGTTGATGGTTCTGTAAATGTAGGTTGCACAATAGTAGGTGTGAATGTTCTTTACGGTGAGTAGGTTTAAGTTTTTGAAGAGGGAGGGGGTGCTGTCTTGCATTGGATTACGTGATAATTCTTACTGCAGCTTTCTGTTGGGTTATTATTAGCTTTAGGTGAGTTGCTGCTGTTGATCCCTATGCACAAATGGAATAGGTGAGGTAGGAATAGATGAGTGAATAGTATAGTGTAAGGCTAATTGTGGTATGTAGTAGCGTATCTTGGAGAGGATCCCAACTGATTTGGATACATTTTTTTGTTGGATATGAGTGTCGACTTTCAGGTTGCTGTCAAGGAGCAGGCCCAGGAATTTGCCCTTATTATGTCTAGCAATTGGGGTGGTGTCAGTCGTTACATTCAGCTGGGCAGCACCTGTTCTGTTCTCAAACATAGATGGTTTTGTCACTGTTAAGTGTAAGTTTATTAGCAGTCATCCAGGTCGATATTTTTACTAGTTCTTCATTAACAATTGTGTTAAGTGAGGCAAGATTAGGGTGGGAGGTGACATATGTCATATTGTCAGCAAAGCTTAAGGTGTTGTGAAAAATTAGAAAGATCATTGATGTATAAGAGGATGCTTCCTTGTGGTACTCCAGTATCCAGTGGTCTTGTTGATGAGGTTGTGTCCTTAATAGATAGTTTAATATGTTTATTATGCACCCCATGCCCATTCTGTGGGTGGTAGTCAAAAGATTACAGAGGTATATAATAATAGAGACATATTGCTGCCTGTTAGTTACGTAGGATTTGAAATATATAAGTGTGTGGCCTCTTATGCCATAATGCTCGGGTTTGTGGAATAGAATGCTGTGGTCTACTGTAACAAATGCTTTTCTTAGGTCAATAAAGAGTCCTAATGGAAATTCATTTTTTCAAGCGCAGTGTAAAGCAGGTCTAGCATTTTTACAATTGCATCATTTGTGTTTTTGATTTTTCTGAACCAAATTGGCAGTTGGTTATGAGAAAGGTGGGGTAGTGGTCTGTAGTGTTGTCTGTGATTATACCTGCTTGTAGTGGAGATATCGTGTTGGTCCAGATATGGTCAAATAATGAGGCACTTGTCTCAGAGATTCTTGTTGGCTTAGAAGGTACAGGTCGGCGATCACTAATCCGGCATCACTGACTTAGTGAGCTTGCCAGATTACAAAGTGGTTCGGTTAGAATACACTTAATTAACCTGTCAATAGACTCTTTCTGCTACATCTTCCTGTTAGGTAAGACACATATGCAACAGTTAGGTATCTTTATTATGAAACGTTTCGCCTACACAGTAGGCTTCTTCAGTCAAGTACAGAAAAGTTGATAGAAGCAGAAGATACTTGAAGACGATGTAATCAGTCCATCACCCTTAAAGTTTTGAGAGGGACCTGACCTTTCAACATCTGAGTTCTTACCTCTCCTAGTGGCCTACGTCTCACCTCTTGGCGCTATAAAAAGCTCCATTCTGTCACTTCATCTCCATATTGTTTCATACTATGGAACAATGCTCTTCTCCAGACTGAGGGACTGACCACCTCAAAACTTTAAGGGTGATGGACTGATTACATCGTCTTCAAGTATCTTCTGCTTCTATCAACTTTTCTGTACTTGACTGAAGAAGCCTACTGTGTAGGCGAAACGTTTCATAATAAAGATACCTAACTGTTGCATATGTGTCTTACCTAACAACCTGTCGGTATTTTATACCATTTTAATATTCAATCCGCTACATCTTCCTCATTTTCATCACTGCTTTCTCCTCCACTGGTTTGTTGCTGTGGATTTACAACTATCTGCACAATTTCTGAGTCAGTATAATGATGAAATTTGAGTCATTATTATGATCTGAGTCAGCATAATGATGATATTTGAAATTATACTAGCTGAAACTAGTGCTGGATTACTGATGGAACCGGATAACTGATTGCCGCATTAGTGATGGTTGACCTGTAGTAGCAAGCGGTTGGTCATAGTGTTTGTGAAATCAGCTACTGGAGGGTTTCTTTTTTTTTCTAGCAAAAGTACTTAGTGACTTCAAGGTCCTAGTACTTAGTAAATTTTAAAATTATTCCTTCACATTTATTTTCATGTCACCCTCCACTCCACCACAAGCCCACTCTTCTACTTCCTGCTCAACCCCAGTCTCCCTTGAAACACATCACCACATTAAGTCACACCCTCCTTCATCAATTAAAGCCACTACTTCTCAGTCCTCTACAATTCCCCAACACCCCCACTTTACCATTTCCCCACACAAGATTTCTCAGTAACCCTCATTCCTCCATCTCCCCCTTCTTTTCTACCATAGAATGAGATTGTAATCGTTAAGTGAGTCAGTAATTTTTATCAGTAATAAGCTCTGTGTAAAACTGAGTGTGTACCTATATATAGCATCAACTTTATAATTAACAGTTAAGTGTATTACTGTAATCTCCAAAAGATATATTCATTCATATATTCATTTAGTTTATTTGGACATGATACATAGGTTTACAAGGAATTTTAGTAGTTGGGTGTACATACCAAAAGCTCCTTTTATGCAGAGCATTATGGGCAAGCTTAAAATTAACAAGCAATGAAAGGTTCAGTGGTAAAATTACCATAAACAATTTACATTATGAAGTACAGTTGAGTATTTGAAACAATGAAATTTGAACATTTCGATATTGAATCATTATAGTTGTACAAATTTGTCCCATTACAGTGTGTGACAGACAAGAAGATCAATTTACTGTATGTTGTCTTGAAGTTTTAATATTTAAGTAATTGGGAGAATTATTGGTAATGTTAAATAATGAGTGTTGATTATTTAGTCCTGGGCAAGTAAGTGGTTTTTTAGAAGAGTCTTAAATTGATTTTCAGGCCTGGTTACTTTGTGTGTTCTGGTAATGAATTCCAGATTTTGAGACCCTTTATGTGCATAGAGTTTTTATTTAATAAAGACTCTCTAAGGCTTCTGAAATCCATTTTTTGTGCAGCCACTCACAGGTTGAGCATAGGGGCACACTAAACTGTGAAAAATGAAGTGAACTTCCGAATGATCCAACATGAGTGTAGCAGATGTAATTTACTAAGCATGGAAAGAGTAACAGGAAACTCCATACAAGGATTCAAGTACTATAAATATGAAAAAAAAGTCCAGAGGTTAGGAGAAGTAGGCCTTCTTAATACCACACAAGTCATTTAACAGTTAAGGATAATTAAGAAGCAAGACCAAGGAGCTGGTGCTTGTGTCTGGCAATCCTCAATAGTTTACTGAACCATAAGATTTAATTTTTCATCACTGCAGGTGGCTTGGCGTACACTTGGAGACTATAGGCAACCTCATCACCTTCTCAGCAGCTATCTTGGGTGTAGCTGGACGAGACTCTATCAGCCCTGGAATTGTTGGTCTGTCTGTCACTTATGCTCTTAATGTGAGTGCTTTTCATTAATTATTCTTTTTGTATGTGTAACTATTTTATTTTTTGTTACCTACTTTGTAAAAAAATTTCCCGTATACTTTTTACCTATGTTACAACTTATAAAAGATTTTCCATCTGCTCTCTCCTTCCTTATTGTACACCAATATAAGGTTCTCATAACTAAGGGTATGCCAAAGTATTGGTGGTATTAGCTAATTTTGATGATATCAGTATCAGCCTAAAACTGAGTATAGGTGTCAGCATCAGTGCATATCATTTAATTTTGACTGGTATCAGTATTGGTGGGTATTAGCTAATTTTGGCAATATTGATAGTGACCAAAAAACTGGGTACCAGTATTTGTATTGGCAAAAATTTAAGTATTGTCCTGTCCTTACTCAAACTTCTATCAGGTTTTCTAACAAAGTCAGCTTCTTTTAGTACATCTGTTGCAGTAATGTACACTTAATGAATGTTATTTGCAAGGTATTATCCAACAATAAAAGCATTATGGGGAGTACAAAAATTATCAACTGGAAAATGCTTGATGTGTACAGATGTTTTTCACAACATGACTGTACAGTGGTACCTTGGGATGCGAAGTTATTTTGTTCCAGAAGGCTGTTCGAGTGCTGATTGTTACGTTGCTTTGTCCCTTATTACTTTGATAGTAAGGTTCTCACTACATGTTCTAGTGTGGGGGTAGCTTTTACTTAATGGTCTTATTTGTCTAGGGGTAATACTTACATCATGGCTGATCATCCTGAGTGTCTCTGATACCCTTTCACCAGCCCTCTTCACAGGTTATGTAACCCCATAACACCCCCACCTCCAGACGAAGTCTCACAAAAGCTAGCTGTGTCCCTCAGGATACGGCTAGTAAAAAGTATATTGCTTAAGTCTGAAGGCGGTAAACAAGACTACTAGAAATGCTACATTTTCCCAGCACCATAACTACTCTTCACTTTACTGTTATTTACAAGAGATTGCAGAATTTTTTAGAAAAGCAATTTAACCATACCCAAATACTCAAGTGTGTAAACTATTTACAATTTTAGTGACTTTTTTAAACAATACACATTACAATGCAAAATTTTTTCACACAATTGCCCACTGTGAAAGCCCGCACCAACAGGCCTGTGCCTCTGCTACGGTAATCCAGCAAGCAACTGGTACTCCAGGGTGGCATCTTCCTGATCAGGAGACGAGAGTAGAGCCAAACCCAGAGCAGTCAGGTGTACCCCAGGCAGGAAACTTCACAAAACATGTCAAGGTGTCTCTCACTTGGTGGCCGAACCAAACAGTGAGACTTCCAGTCAACACTCACGATCCTTAAACATGGTCAGGCACTTAAGCCCATCTTCCGAGGTCCACTCCACACAGATCCTCCAAACTTATTATGAGGAGGCTGTCATAGAACATGGAGGGGTCCAAGGGACCACACAAAGGCAAATCGTCGGGCGTTTTGTACATAGAGCACACCAAAGACACCACATCACATACCTTCCCTGAACGTCTCATGTTACCGAAGGTTGTCAACCACTGCCTCAACTCACATTCCGTACACCCTGACCCTCGTCACACTTTTTGGCTCCGACTCAACTCCTTTACAGTCAGACGGCTGGTAGAGAGTATCAGGCTCGCCGAGAGTTCACCACTGCAAAAACAAACAAGGTCAGCACATGACAAACACTATGTACAAAGTATGCACCATGCATCTACATGAAACATCTAGAGAGAGCATCAGCAAACCACATTCTCTGAGCCTTTTATATATTTAACTTTCAAATTAAAAGGCTGTAGGAACAAAGCCCATTTTAAGAGTTGATTTTAGTCACTATACACAGGAACAGGATGAAGAGATCCTGAGACATGTACAAATGCTAAATAGCCAGCCCCAAAAATGAAAATTTTCTTTCCTGTGGTAAAATGTTGACATTTAAACTTAGAAGGTTGTTCATAGACAATAACAGTTCTGAACCTCTCGCAGTGCAACAACAAACACCAAAGACTTCTCTTGCACCCAGGTTGGATACATCAAGTTTACACAAACACCATCACGTTCCATCTCACACACAAATTTTAAGCACACAATGAACACAATTTGCATTACACACATTAAAATGGTACTGGAAACACAGACCATGGAAATCACATCTTCCATGTTTTAGCTTATTTAAAATGGTTTTGCATCTTTTAGTGCATAAGTATCAATCTTCTAACCTGTAAACCTTAGTTGTTAACGTACTCTGTGGTAGTCAGTGTTTATGCCAGGGTGCCATCTAATTTGGGAACCATGAAGCATGGGAATGCCCACTGACTCTCACTAAGCACTACAAACTGGTGTTGGAAGAATTTCACTTCTTCCTCCATCTCCAATTTTTCATACAGATTTTTCCCACACAAAAATTGTTGAATTGGCTCAGTTTCCTTAACAATTTCCTCATGGAGTTTCAATTTTCCCCATTATGACATCCCAACTTTTATAAAGTTCCAAGGTGGCTGAGCCAACTCTCCAACATTTTCCTCATTAAACCCAAGCATGCATTTCCCAAAATCTTTTACACACATGTTTATTTCTTGAATACGCTTTTGGTATTTCATACAGATTATTGTTTTGCAGCCCTTTACATTCCATTAAAACATTGGTCTCTCTGAATTTTTGACAGAACTTCAAACCCTTTAACCAGTTACTGTGTACACTATACTCATTCTTTTTCTTGCTCAGGGGTGTGGGTTTTTTTTATCTAACCCCTGGGAACTTCCCCCACAACATGTTCAGCTCACAGCAACTGCCATACAGATTTTCACATGAATTGGCTCCAGTTACAGCACTTCCTCTCCAGCCTCCAGAGTATCATGGTCCACATTATGGTCCCACATCATCATCCTGGTCTGGTTGATGAGCACACGTTCACTGGTACCATCCACATCATTACGAGCCAAACAGTATCTGAAACTGAGAAAAAGCTCCGAGGGGGGAGCATCACCATCCTCCCCAAGCCAATAGCTCAGAGATTCCAGAGTGCTTCCCCACTCAGCAAATACAAAGAAAGGGATCCTCTCATCCCAGTTGTTAGTATTGTCTATACCATAGGCTTGCATCATTGTCTTGAGGGTTTGATGTAATTTCTCTATTTCCCCTTGAGATGGAGAGTGATACACAGTTGAACACTGAGGCTCTACTTTTAGTCCCTTCAAAACATTTCTAAAGACTTTGAGGTAAAGTTAGATCCTTGATCTGTTTGTGCTGCTTGAAGAAAACCAACATGAAAAAGAACTTCATCAAAACCCTTAAGACTACATGAGCAGTTATCTTATGCAGAGGGACTGCTTCCAGGTACCTGGTAGTGGAGCAAATTATTGTTAGTAAATAATTATTTCCCATTCTGGTCCTTGGGAGTGGGCCAACGACATCCACTACCAGCTTGCTGAAGGGTTCACCTGGTGCTGAAATTGGCTGAAGGGGAACAGGTTTTAATACTTCGACTAGGTTTCCTCTATAATTTGAAAGGCATGCATTAGGTCTCAATATGCTCTCTGACAGTCTCCACAGCTGAGACCCGAAGAAATGCCTGGAAACCTTGGACATCACCACCTGGGGACAAAGCCCTTGTTCTCCTTCCATCGATACTGCAAACAGAGGTGAATTCTTTATAAGAGTTTCCTCCCTGAAATGAAAACACTTATTTAACTGTAAAATCTCTTCCTCAGCAACAGCGACATTTTCCTGCACAGAAATTAATTGCACCCTAGCAGGTGCAGCCTCTCTCACACTATTTAACTGATCCATTCTCCAATCATGCTCAGCTCTGGCTGGATCATCCTTTTCTTCAGTTGACTGCAGTTCAACATCAGAAAGCAGAGTTACCAAACTTAAGCCCACACCATCCTCATGAGAAATATCATGAAGACTGTTGGTAGCATGATCATGAGCCATACTTCTCATGGTGGAACCATCAGGGAGAAGGTCTGGCAGGGTTTTCCTAGCCATTTCCTCCCAACATTTGGGATTTGGTTTCCCCCAAACTAGTTGTTCCCACTGTCTACAGACCCATAACATTATTCCCTAATAAGAGGTTCGACCCTTTGAAGGGAATTTCATCTGAGATACCTACAGGGAGATAGCCAACTTGGTATGCAGATTCTACCCATAATTTGTGTACAGGTGTCCTTATGGTTGAACCCGTAATACCCTTCAACAAATATATCTACCCCAGTTATAGGTATCCTTAGACACTGGTAGCACTCCAGCACGTAGCAAAGAGTAGGTGCTAATCCATCTCTCAAGGACAATATGTTCTCAACTCTGCCTACATCCTTTTGCAAACCAACTGTGGACCTACTAGAAAATATACACATCCTGGGGTCTAGATCCAAAGGTTCCTCCTCACCTTGCCTTGAAAGAACCTAATGCAGGCAACTGGATGTATCTTGCAGTTAGAGTCCTCTGGGGTGGTTCCTCCCTTCCTGATCTCTCCGCCTTGACCAGCAAAACTTTTGAGTGTGTCCAGTTTTGTTACAGTAGTAACAGGCATAACTCTTAAAGGTATTATTTACCATTTGGTGTAGGACTGGTACTGTTTACTCGAGGACCTGAACATTATCTGATTGTCTAGGTAAACTTTGAACTCCAGCGACTTACCTTTTCCTTCTATTTTATAGGGCACCTCAGCCTTCATTTGTTCCTGAAAATTCTTGTCCCACTTAACCTTTATGACCATAAGACTTGGAATAAGGTTTAGAATGAGTGGGGAAATTTTCAGGAAGCAGCATGGACTGTTTTTCACTTACCAATTCCCTGCGAGTCAAAAAATCGGTCACCTAGATCCAGTGCTTCTGAAAGAATTATACCTGGGTTTTGTCCTCCAAATATTCTCTGAGGTCAAAGGGATTGTATTGTACAATTCCTCACGAACCATCAGTCTACTAATATGTTATAGTCTTTATTAACTCCTTTAGAACAAAACCATTTCTTAAAAAGGAACAGTTTCTCATTCCCAAACTCAGTT